TGAGTTGCCATATATATCTACACAAACGGGGAGGGGCACATCAAACACATGAATACACACAACATTGTGTCCTTTTTTCTTTACCTAGATTGTAGTCTTACAAATTAAATGGGGGAGGGGGGACACAGGATGACAAGCAAGGATGTTACATAGAAGAACAAAAGAATCAAGTAAGATCACTTGGGTTTTTTGTTTGTTTGTTTGGTTGGTTGGTTGGTTTTTTGAGACAGGGTTTCTCTGTGGCTTTGGAGCCTGTCCTGGAGTTAGCTCGGTAGACCAGGCTGGTCTCCGAACTCACAGAGATCCGCCTGCCTCTGCCTCCCGAGTGCTGGGATTAAAGGCGTGCGCCACCATCACCTGGCTTGATCACTTGGTTCTTAAAACTATGCTTCCTTTGTTATCCCTTACTGGGGAAAACAGAAACTGCAAAACCTGGTAGAAAAGTAAGTCAATCAGGGAATGGAGCAGTTAAGAACTCTGGCTGCTCTTGCGGAGGACCTGAGTTCCGTTCTGGCATCCACATGGTAACTTTATGACTGTAACTCTAGGGCCAGCAGAGTCGATGCCCTCTTCTGGCCTCCACGAGCACTGCATGCATGTGCTGTACACATTCATACACTTGAACCAAAAATCAATCTTTTAAGAAAAATTGTTAATCCTATAAATTTCAGCGGAGACACTTTATAATCTTCAACCCTAAACTAGGGCATACCTGGCTGGGGTAAGTCTCAGAACAGATTTTATTTCTTAATCATCTCTCTCTCTCTCTCTCTTTCTCTCTCTCTTTCTCTCTCTCTTTCTCTCTCTCTCACACACACACACACACACACACACGCACACACAAGGAAACACCATGAAGGCAGGATCTTTGTTTCAATAACAATAATCTGTAGCATTTAAAATAAGTTCTAAGTGAGTATTAGAGTAGCCCCCGTTCCTTTAATAACCTTAATAATGTTTCCTCTCGCCCACACTGTAGGCTTCTCAATGAGGTGCGTCAGGGACTCTGCACTGGCATCTGTCTATTATGTAATAACTGCACGCCTTCATCCCAGCTCTCTGCCTTGACTTACGTCGGTAGGGGAGATCAATGCTTGGTTTAACTGAAGCAATGCTATTCCAGGTGAGTCCTGCAAGGAGTTCCCACGAAACTGTAAATCATTAACAGCTTCATTCATCCGCAGAGTCCTGCTACGAAATGCTGCCAGTACAGCTGATTTACACTTGGCACAAGCTCTTTATGTCCTCGCTGGGACCAACAACAAATTGAGAGCAGCAGATCATATTTTGAATAGCATTAAACCAAAGGAGAGCTGAACCGCTCACGCCCTGATGTGGGAGAGTCTTTCCATACATTAAACATTGCTCTGCCTATATCAAGTCAATTTTCCCACTGACAGGAGAGACCAGAAGTACACAGGGATAATGGTTAAGAAAATTAAAGGGAGAGATGGCTCAGTGAGTAAAGGCCCCTGCCACCCAGCCAGACAAGCTGAGGTAGAGTACCAGGATCCACGTCATGAAAGGAGAGACCTAACTCCCTGGAGTTACCCTCCGCCCTTCATACATGCATCGTGGCAACAAAGAAATGGCACCTACACACCCCCCAAAAATTAACTTTTAAAAAGCAAGAAATGAAAGACAAAGAAAGGAAAAGAGGTACCAAGGCAACAATTTTGCACAAAGGAATTTGAAGTCACTTCCTTGCCCCTAAAGTTAGCTATGGTTACAGGTGCCCAAGTTCCAGGCAGCAGCTATATAGTTATGAGGCATGGTTAAGTCCGTGAAAGTCAGCAACAGTGGAAACCGTATTCATTTCAGAAATTCTGTAGTCCCAATTGTCTGTCATTTTCCCTTAGATTAACCACTTGGACAAACTCAGAGTTTCCACCCCATAGCACAGTGTCACTTAAAGCCCAATATACAAACAAGAATCAGAAAAAAAAAAAAAAAGCCAAAAAAAAAAGCACATGATTTTGAAGCTCTGAACTCCATGAGCCAATGGTCCACAAATAAATACTATGTTTAAGTATTTGCTACAAGATACATAGTATCTCTTCAGACAAGCTTGGGCTGCCAATTTCTCTCCTTAAAGAGGAATCCTTCCTATTCCAAATCAAAGAGAGAAATCTGCAAACCAAAATCCACAGGGGCTAAAGGAACTCCTGCCTGTCCATGGTTAAGGGGCCCCTCACATACCATCCAAAAATGATAGGTCATGGTTGAAAGTTCTTTTTAAACAGAGGCAACGTTTAAGAATTCACAAGTTGGGGGCTGGAGAGATGGCTCAGTGGTTAAGAGCATTGCCTGCTCTTCCAAAGGTCCTGAGTTCAATTCCCGGCAACCACATGGTGGCTCACAACCATCTATAAAGAGGTCTAGTGCCCTCTTCTAGCCTGCAGATATGCACACAGACAGAATATTGTATACATAATAAATAAATTTTAAAAAAAAACCAAGTTACTTTAAAAAAAAATTCACAAGTTGCCAGGCAGTGGTGGCACACATCTTTAATCCCATCACTTGGGAGACAGAGGCAGGCAGACATTTGTGCGTTCCAGGCCAACCTGGTCTACAAGAGCTAGTTCCAGAACAGCTAGGGCTGTTACACAGAAAAACCCTATCTCGGAGAAAAAAAAAATCAGGACTCTACACCTCATCTCCCACCAAATAACCCTGGGGTCTCTGCCCCCATCCAAGCTGATGTCTCTGAACAAGCCACCCCCTCTGACACTTTATCATCATCACACCATCAATCTGCAACCACGCTTCACTTCAACAATTCAGTTCTTTCCCAGCTCCCACCAACTGATGCCTTATTCCACGCCTTCACTCCTTTTTCTTCCAATTCTGCAGCCTATAGATTTGCTCCAAATAATTGTGGTTTTCTCAGTTTACTGCCTCTTCCTGGTCTATAAATCAGCATTATGCACACATGGTTTTTGAGCAGGATTCACAAAGGCTACTGCTCTACAGTCAACGTGCTACATCAATTGATGACAATAATATTGGTTTTCAGGAAGAGCTGAAGTTCTTTCAATTCGATGTGTAGTTTTGTCAATATGTATAAATTGGAATTCTGTAAGTAGAAGCAATTGTGTCCTTACACATACTTAATATGTTGTTAACCATCTGCCTGATATCCATGTTTACACATCATAAGCACTTAATAAATGTTTTATTTGGCTGACAAGAAATTTTATGATGCTTTAAAAGAGAAACGGTAAAAACACATCTTAAAAATCACAAGCTTCGGGCTGGAGAGATGGCTCAGAGGTTAAGAGCATTACCTGCTCTTCCAAAGGTCCTGAGTTCAATTCCCAGCAACCACATGGTGGCTCACAACAATCTGTAATAAGGTCTAGTGCCCTCTTCTGGTCTGCAGATATACACACAGACAGAACATTGTATACATAATAAATAAATAAATATTTTAAAAAAATCACAAGCTTCGCCTTCAAGTGTAATATTCTGCATTCCAATAACTCCATTCTTAGGAACGGGGATTAAGAAAATTATCTTGAATATAAATACATGATATAAATATGCATAAAAATACGCAAAAGCCATTTTCCATAGCACCTGGATGTCCAGCGATGATTAACAAAATTATATTCACTGAAAGGTTGTGATAAAACACAATAGTAGCTATACAAACAGGGACTATTACATGTAAACATGGAAGCTTAAAGTTAGTAAAGAAACAAGGTTATAAATGTAACACTGCATATTATAGAAACTATTCTAAAGCCAAGGAGAAAGAGACACATATCAGTGAGGTCACAAACAATCATTTCCCCTCCGATCTTTCCAAGTCGCACAATGAGCACTGATTACTTTGTAATAAACATGTGCCACTCTAAAACGTCCCAACCTTTCACTCAAATAGTGAGGAAGATTCAAACTGCACGCAGGATGTAGCAAATGTAAATGAGTATGTCTGCACTATCTGTATTCTAGGTTCCCTCCTACATCACTGTTGAAGTAATCTCTTTATAATGAACACACAAATTTTAATAGCGTAGCCAAACATCCCATTTATATGTGGCTGTTGATAATTCACAGCTTCAAATCCTAAGTATTCTACTTTGATCTTCCATTCTAGCTGAATGAACTAGCCACAAACCCAGAACCAAGGCTCATTGGAATCCCTGCTTTTCCCTTTTGTGTGTCTTAAATAAGTAACTGATCTCAGGTATCATCAGGCGTGTTGCAAGTCTTTCTTAGTGGCATAGATCTGCGATTCAAAACCTCTGCAGCCAATGAAGCACCTGGTGCCTGTCCTGGAATTGCTCTTTCCTTTTGAACTCATTTCTTGCAGTCCTGGTCTCGATTTAGGTGACAGCAACTGCTTGCAGTTATTCAGACCCATTAAGCCAGCAACCTTCTCTCTGTATAGACGCTACATCTCAAGTAAACGAAATCACCCTACACTGCGATTTCCCCATGGCTAGAAATGCCGAACAGCTCTGAGATCATACCTCAACCTCCCAATATGACTGCAATTACATAAGCAATATATGACCACATTAAATGCAGAAACGGATGCTCTTTGCCACTATCTCCTTCAAAACACCTTCCATTTACTATGAAGAAACTTTTGATTGAAAGCAACCCCCTTCAAACAGTTTCAACTTTGCTTCCTTTCCCCAGCCCCATGCCAAAGCATAGGCATCCAGGCCATATCTTATCTTTCCCTACAGAGCATCCAATTGGCTTTTTATAGCCAGAAACTCTCTGAATGCTAAGCACGACCTTGGCTACTGGCTTTCCCTGGCATCGTCTGAAAGTTATTTTTAACTTTGAAATTAGCATGAAAGCCTACATTTCTCATCGCAGCTAGTCAAAACATCCCCATTTCCTATAATAATGTGATCCTCCTCCATTCAGAAGAAACCCCACATTATAAACCCATGACGTATAAAAGAGACTCAGGAACCCAAGGGAGAAACAGGAGGGCACAGAAGCCCAGCTCTTCGGTTCATAAACTGGACTCTTACCTCTCGCTGCTTCCTATAAAGAAACTGTGCTTTGAGTGTAGCTCTTGAAGGGAGTTTTCCGGACAGGACTCTGAGGGTAGGGGAAGCCTCTTGCTAGTCACAGAGCTACAGAGGACCACACGGAGAGACAGTGACGATGGGGCAGTCACTTTAGCCAAGCCCTCTCCTCACCCAGGATGAGAAAGGAAGGGGAGGTTACAAGCCAGGGTGGGTGGTATCTAATCCTGGGCTCACCAGTGACCTCACTGACAACTTGTTGCTGAAAATACTTTGTTGAAAAAGGCCAGACACATACTTTCCCTAGAGACCTACATACTTCTTAGGAAACTCTAAATAAGTTAGATTTGACTTTCTATCATCCTTGTTAAAATAAGGAATGTTTCCAATGAAAGCTGGTTAGAATTACTTAATGTGAGAAATTGTAAATTGGGAAATCCTCGCCCCATTATTACTTAAAGTTCAGGGCCTCTGGTCTGGGTCACATCTGAGATAGCATTTTTCTGTTAAGATTTCACCATTTCACACACCCATATACCGCCTACCATTCTTTCTGCTTCTTGTATGTATGAACGACCACACCACAGTAGGAAACTAGACAGAAAGTTATCAAAAGCCCTTTAGTAGAACAATTAATCAATTCAAAGCACCAGAAAAGTTTATCCTCGAAGTTTTGGGTTTTTCTACTTAAGGAGATATTTTTCTGTATTTCCTTCCATATGTAACATGAATTCTTACAAGAACATAAGAGTATATATACATATAGCCTTTTCTCAACAATACTGCATCTCACTGTCTAGCTCTTTATTACGCCATCAACTGAGTTTGAGTTCCGAAACTTTAGGACATGCTTCCTTAGCTAGTCATGCTTTGTTCCTGTAATAACACACAAAATGACTCTAACATGCTGCTAACTACAACATGAACTGTTTGTTGGAGCTTTGGCACTCCTGTTCTTAAGGGACTGAATTCAAAATAGAAGAAAGCATTTATTTATTGGCTCCACAGACATCTTGGAACAAATATTAGGGAGCCAAGAGGAAAGTCAGGATCTGGGGATTATCAAAGAGAATCAGCTATGAAAGGGGGTTCGTTTTATATGACTTCCCAGAAAGCCTGCAAAATAAGAGTATTTTTACTGTAGCCTCCTTTAAAATGTACATAATGGACATTTATCTAAAGAGTCCTAGTCACTAGTCACTAACAAAATGCCCTTCCAGATTTGTTTTATAGCATCCTTTCTCCCGGGAAGGATCTCAGAGTGGTTTCTTTTCACAGAGAAACAAAGAGTGAGTTTTACATCACACAATCCATCTTTTCTGGAATAAAGAGATCACTTGACACTTGCAAAATAGCAGGTTTTGTTTTAGAGTTTTGATAATGAATGTTTTCTAAACCAGGACTACTGAACTGAGCCCAAGATAAGGTACCCAGGTTCTATTGTACACTTGGCCTGCCTAGCGGGTAAACCACTGCACCTTCCCCCACTGCTCTCTAGCCCCCCCCCCCCCCCCGGTACTTCTACAAAATAGACATGAAAACCCCTAGTCTCTGCTTTTCAGTAGTTATGTGATTTAAATTGATAAAACTGGAGTGTTCAAAATATAGTGAACTACTCAAAGATATAATGTACACAGAACCACATTGCAGGGTTTGGTGTTATCAAAAAACAAACAAACAACAACTAAATACTCTTAGTATCTGAAGTGTGATTTTTAAAGAGCTTTGCGGAGTATTTAGGGGTTTTGTTGACTTGCTTAGTTTGTTGTTTCCTTACCCAAACACCCAGCCTTGAAGTTAGGCTTGACGTTCAGTACTCTCGCCACGAGGGGTCCTCTCCAGCAAGTCAAACCACAGGCCCCACAGGCCTCTATATTTATATCCGTTTGGCCGACAGAAAACACAGATCGCCCAATGTCAAATTTCCATAGCTAACTATCAGGCAGCAGATAAAACCAGAGCGATTTGGTCTGTGTGGTCGCTGAAGCATGCTGAACACTAAATAGTTCCTGTAAACTACACAGCCCTGCGTTTTGCATCCTGGCCCCCTTCCAAACGGGCCGCAGTAATTCCTGCCTGTCACCTCACCCAGTCTCCCTCAGTATTTATGTTCCTTCCCTCTTCGTTCCTTTCCTCTCTTTATACTTTTCAAACTTGAAAATTTTGGCTCACGTTCCACTGACAAACAGACAAAGCTTAGGGGCAGAGGAGAGGATAAAAAAGAGAAAATAAATCGGGGCCGTTAGCAGTAATCCTCCTGAGGCGATCAAGAGCATGGGTTTGATGTTGAGTATTGGGGCTAGCCCCCCCCCAAAAAAAAAAAGTCACTGGATTGAGTGTTCTGAGAAGCCCTTGTTGTTGAGATTCTGAGCCAGCTAGAAGCTTAAAGGCAAGGAAGGAAGTTCCGAAAAGAAGATAATTGCATCCCAAATCAGAAGTCCCTCCTGGAAAATAAGCCTTCCAACACACAATCGGTTCTGTGCTCAGAATGGAAAAATGCTTCTTTGTGTCATTCAACTCTTAAGAATGAAAATAGCTCTTGTATAAGTCATGAGTCTATTTATTGTGTATGAGATACCTCCAAGTGTTGGCGGTTTGTTTAGGGCTTTTTACAAGTTTATTATTTCGGACCAGCAAGGTATCTCAGCGGGGGGGGGGGGGGGGGGGGGGGGGGGGGGGGGGGGGGGGGGGGGGGGGGGGAGCACTTGTTATGCAAACCTGACCACTTTCGTTCAATCCCAGGAACACTTGGTGGAAGGACAATCGGTAAAAGGAGAAAACCGACTCACAAAAATTGTCTCTGGCCTCCATACATGCTCCTCATACACAACCATAAATATAAAAAAATAAATAAAAATAAACCTAACGTATCTTCTCTTGTTTCAAAGATGTAGTATAGCAGATAGATGTTTCTCGCCCATTCTAGGATTTACTTCAACCCACTCTCCTGCCTCGTTGAGGAAAACTAAATTCATTCAAGAGAATGCCCCACAATTTCCCATCATTAAATCCATAAAACCATAAGCCATAAACCCCACCCACCCACTTCCTCCCACCTATCCCAATCCTCCTGTTGAAGCTAAACTCGCCTCTCTGGACCCCACCACCTTCTGGCCCCACCTCCTCAATGAATCTGCTTGGTATCGTCATTTCATTTCCTGTGCCATCACCATCTCTCTAGCGATAGGGGCATAAGCAGCACGCTTGCCTGAAGAAAGTATCAAATAGGACCTGAGGGTACAGCTCAGTGAGAGAGCACACGCTTAGGACATACCTTGGGTTCAAGCATCAGTACCAAAGTTAAAAAAATAAAAGAAACCCAGCAAGCAAGCAGTAACACACCTGCACCCTACCTCTCCTTCTAGGTACAACTATAAGCCACTGTTGCTCTGTTTTCATGTAGCCAACAACACATCCATTGTGATTTTTTTTTTTACCTATTCACTTCTATAAGGGTCAATAAGTTTACCAATGATCATGTGGTCAAATCTATACAGTCATTTTCTTGTTACATTTTTAATTCGTGTGTGCGTGTGTGTGCAATAGCATGCATGGAGAGGTCAGAAGACAGCTCGAAAGACCCATGTGGGTCTCAGGAATGGAACTCAACTCGCCAGGCTTGGTAGTAGATGCCTTTACCCAGGGAGCCATCTCGCCAGCCCCCCCCCCCCAAAAAAAGTCATCTTCAAGAATTTCATTCAGTCTCATAATCAGCATAATATGATGTTGAGTAAGAATCTTCCTGTTGCCCAGAATTGATAACTAAGGCTCAAAATGAAAGAAGTCAAGTTGTCTCCACAGACTAACGTGCTGCAGAATTTCCGGTATTTGAAGACTAACATCCAACTGTCTCCTCCATTTGCACAGCTAATAGATCTTTCATATTGAGTGTATCTCCCCACACAGGCACGAAAATAGCTTTTCATTTTGCCTATCAAATTTGTTTCCCTCTACCATGCAAATCATAGTGTAGTGATTGGTACTATGACCCAAATGCTTAAACAAAAACTTAGGAGTCATCCTCCATTCGTTATCTTACGAGCATCAAGAATCCCCAGGCATGTGTGGTGGCACCCATAAGCCCAGCAGTTGAGAGGGTAAAGAAAGGGAAATGCAAGTCAAAGGCCAGCCTGAGCTACAAAGGAAGATTCCATCTCAAAAGATAAAAGGAAGAAAACTGGGGCATGTAACTCAGCTGGTAGAGTAGTTACCTACCACACATGAAGTCCTGGGGTGGATCCCCGGCACCAGGTAAAATAGACATGAGTTTGGGGCCAGCCTGGGCTACAGGAGCTAATCCACGCAGTCATCAAATGCATGCTCTATCTCTGTCTTTACAGTTACTAGTCTGGTATAAACTATTCCTGTGTCTTGCTCATTTTATGTATTATATTTCCAGTTAATTTCTTCTAATACAATACAAACACAAATATGTCGTCTAAAAGCTAATCAGGCTATATGTAGTTGCAAAATCTTTACATTTTACTTTAACTATTTCAGAACAAAGAACTTCTCAGCAGGATTAAAATGGCTCTTTTGCTCATTTAGTTTTCTCAAGGTTCTGTAGGAAACTCTGGGGAACCATCTATTAGTCAATAACCTCGACGAGTATAGTAATTATAATCAGTCATATCTGCTCCAGTTCATTAGCTTTGTTATATTTCATTTTGAAAATGAAAATTCCCACCAGATGGTGGCACACACTTTTAATCCCAGCACTTTGGAGGCAGAGGCACGTGGATATCTGTGAGCTCGAGGCCAACCTGGTCTACAGAGTTCCAGGACAGCTAGGGCTGTTATACTGAGAAATCCTGTCTCAAAAAATAAATAAATAAATAAATAAATAAATAAATAAATAAATAAAAATAAAAATTGCCAGCACGCACCTTTCAAATGGTATTTTTATTTATCAACCACCCCATCAAAGCCCTATACTAAATTAATTACACTGATAATCTAGAACATCTTGCAGTGGTGCTTCTAAAAACAACCTGCTTGTGTGACTTTGAAGCTCACAGTCATTTTCAGAGACACAGAACACCCAAGATGGAATTTACTACTATTATCATTGAAACTTATTTCAATTTTTATTATTTTTGATTTTTACTTTTATGAGTAGAGAGGTTTTGCCCACATGTATGT